TTTGTATTTTAGTTTTTACTTTTACTTTAATTATAGCCTTCTTTAATTGATAGCTTGCTATTTAATCAATTCAAATCTTGAATTATATCAATTACTAGTAGCTTTATTCAGTTAATCTTTATAATTTCTCTGATTTACTTCTTTTTTTCTTTATTTATTTACCCTTTATTAAGATAATATCCATAGATATTAGCATAGATCTTAGAAATCTTTGTCATTATTGAAAGTTATAGTCTAATTTCCCTCTCTTCACCCTTTAATTATTTTAGTCTCTCCTAATCCTATATCATTAAGATAAATTCAAGTGAAACTTCACTTATTAATTTATCATAATATATTTTTGATATTCTTTCTGTAAAAAAAATTCTCTCCATATCTTTTTTATATTTATACATTTTTCTATATTTCTTTTATTATCCTTTCTTTCTTTATTTATAATTGATAAATATTTATGTCCTGAATTTTCATAACTAATTATTATTTTTTTATTAAATTACTTATTAATCATCATCTTGTGATATATCAAATTCTTAATTATCCTATTAGAATATTTTTTCAAGATTATTATTCTTATTATCATCCTCTTCAATTTAATTTCACTATACAATTTTACATCTTTTGTTTACTCACAAAATATATTGGAATAGTATTAATTAATCAAATTATATATCTGTTATTTCAAGAATTAATTTAACTTGATCTTACTGAAATACACATTAGTTAATTAAGACAAAGAATAGTATAACTAGTAAATATCTTTCTATTTAATAGAATTAATATTCAAGAAGAATAACTTGATTTTATTGAATAATTCTATCAATAGTTCACCTATCAAGACTTTATCTTTCAATCAAGAATCTTTTCTATTTACAGTGATACTGACAGATATTATTCTAAGACTAAAAACTCAGAAGATTTACCAACATACTCTATATAATCTATATTAACTTCAAAATCAGAAGAAAATAATTATTTCAGTTCAGAAGAAAATATTTAAATCAATTCAAAAAGCAATAATCAATCAGAAGAAGAAGATAATTAAATAGCATAACCAAATAACTTGGATAATCTTATTGCAGCTCTTGGAGCTTTCACTAACTGAATAGCTAATTAAAATATCCAGTCTATGAAAAAAATTATAATTACTATCAGAAAATACTAAGAAAATAATCAAGATTCAATAGAATGACTTAAAGACTTTAATATCACTACTCAAGCTAATAATATTACTAATGTCAGAAAGTATAGTTAGTTAAAGGATATTTAGAAGATGCTATCACCTTATGATATGATGAAAAAAAAAGAGATAATACTATCAGATTAATAGTCTAAAATGATAATAATGACTAATCACACAATTTTAGTTATCAGTTTGTAACTCACTTTCATATCTGAGAGAGAATTGATCAATGGCAAGATGAAATTAAAACATTACAACAGACTGGTATTGTAAAAGAATATATAGATAAATTTATAAATCTACTTTGTAAAGTAGATTCAGAAAATAAATATCCAAAAGAATATAAAATTCAAACATATAGAAGAGAATTAAAATCAGAGATTAGAAAATGGGTTCAGATCTCAGCTGATGGAATTTTCTTAAATATGATGCAAGTTGTCAAAAATATGAAAAGATATTTGAGATTATCATCCAAGTGTAACTATTCTACCAAAATTAAAAATAATATTTTATTATACTATTCTACTATATATATAAATATCATATTATAAGATAATAAAAATGTAAATTCTAAATATTAAATAGAATATAATATTCAAAAATAGAAATATAATGATAAATATAATAATAAACAATAAGAAAAAGAGATATTTATAAAATCAATAAAAATTATAATAAAATATAATTTTTCATAACTAGAAAAAGATTAAGGAATTAAGAAATTTTATGTTACTATAGTAATAATATTATTATTTTTATATATTTTTACAAAAATTTATACTTTTTTAAATTTAATTTTATAAATAAAATTTTATTTTTATATTAAAGTCTAATATATTATTTATAATACTTTTTATTATAATACTTTCAATTAAAAAACTTATACTTTTAGTATTTACTAAATAATAGTTATTATTATTATTAATATAATCAAAATTAGTTAAAAATAATATATTATTATAATAAGTATTAACTATTTTAGATATAGATTTAAATAGATTAAAATTAATTATTTTAAAAATTAAATTAGATTTCTCAAAAATAAAAACTTTTATATTTATAATATATATCTTTAATAAGAGATATTAATATATAATAATATTAAGTAATTTTATAAATTAGATTATTTTAACTTAAGATTCTTCAAAATTATTAGTATTAGAATAAATAAAACAAGATAATTAATAAGAAACAGATATTAAGCTTTATTTAATCTAGCAAAATAAAATAGTTTATCTTATATTATTAAAGAACTAGTTTAAAAGTAAAATTAGCTTCTGATAATCATTTTGTATTAAAAATTATAAAAATTAAACATGAAATTCTTTGTTAATCTCTTAATTAAATATATTTATTCTGTAATTAAAAGATAAATTTGATAATTGATAATTTATAATTTAATATAAAGAAATTTAATTAAAAAAATTTTTGTAATTAAAATAATTCTTTCAGAAAAAAATATATTAAATTAAATTATAAACTTTATATTTTAATATAAATAATTTTTAATATATTTATTAATAAATTAATAATTTTAATATATAATATTTAATAGTTATTATATTTTAAAATTTAAAATTTCTATTTTTATAATTTTATATTAAATTATATATAATATTATATTATTCAAATTCATTTTTATTATAATTTTACTTATATAAAAATTCTTTATAAGTTACTTTTATTATAAAATTATATATTTATTAAAATATTAATTATAAAGCTTAGTTTTTTGATAATATTAAATAAAAATAAATTTTTTATATTTTAATTAATTTAAAATAGAATATCAAGAGCAAATTTTTTCTAAGAAAATATTTATAATTAAAAAATATTAGATTATACTTATATATATTAATCAGGAATTATATACTTGTATTATTTTCTTAGTTTATTCTGATATTAATGCAATTAATATTTTGTTAAAATTTATTTATATAAGATTATATTAATAGAGTTCAAAGTAAAATCAATTTTTTATTCTTTTTTAAAAAGATTTTTTGAATTATTATTTTGTTTAAAAAGAATTTTATCTTTTTTCAGTATAATTTCAAAAATAAATTTAATAAATTTATATTTAATATATTAATATAGTCAAATCTTTATTAAAATAAAAAGTAGAGTATACAGTAAATAATTCTTGTCATCTTTATAATTTGATAGTGAAAATGATAATACTATTACACTCAATTCAAAAGTTAGGTTGACTAATAAATTTGAGTATATACAAGAGGTGGGAGTGAAGACTGAATAATTCTTCAAAATGAATTCCACTAGGATTCTAAAGTTCTTCTGTATCAATCTTTTAGATTGAGCAATCTTGAACAAAGATAATATATTAATTTCAAAAGAGCAAGATTTACTATTATAATTAAAAGAATAATTGCTGTAAATATTAATTTTTTATTTGATTATACTTAAGCAAAAATAGGCATTTAATAAGAACTGTAATCCAAATGCATAAAATAAAAACTAATAATATCAATATCAAAATAATAATATTAGCATTAAATAATAAAATCAGTATCAAAGAAACAAAGCAATGCATTAACTTTGTATAACCAAGACTAGAAAGCCTTCAATTTGTTAAGCACAAATAAAATTAAAGCTATCGATTTCATTTTGGCACGAAAGAAATAAAACTGAAGCAAAGCTAGGTAAGTTTCAAATTAAATATTTTTCTTCAAATCAATCAATTTTGCCTGTATTTTACAACCTTTCTATTAGCTACCCTATATATACTGCTTCGTTATTGCGCAACTGTCTTTCTTCACAGCTATTTAGAGTTCAGTTTCATAGGTTGTTACGGGCCATTCAATGTGTGGTCAAAAGAAAGAAAATATGTGTATCTATATATATATTGACGTAATAAATAAAAATATAAAATATTGTATAATTAAAAAGTATTATTGGTAATAAAAGTAGTATTCATTAAAATTAATTATTGATCACGAAATATGTGAGGGAAAAAGATCGTTGGATAATATTCTGTAACGAATAGCTTGGGCGTGCAAGATAAGAGTTTTTAATAAATTACTTCTTGCTTTTGGATAGACGGCGTTAATGTTGATATTTTAAGATAAGAATTTTTTTATAGGAATTTCTGGGATCTTTGCGTACGCGTTTCGGGACAGTACTAACTAAATTAAAATTTAGGTTCGTCACACATGATTTTCGCAACAGTTCTATGACAAAGATAACGCTCTTCTTTTTTTCGTGTAACATAGAGGTAAGGTATGTGTTGCTGGAGATAAGATACAAGTCAATGACAAGAGGATTCCGAATCAAACAATATTCTGTCCTCTGGCAAAAAATATGACTCAAAATATGACTGAAAACCATGGACTCGGTAAATTATGTGCTATAACGATGTTAGAATAATGCGTTTAATTTATCAACTAGAGCTAATATTAATATACATAAAAAAGATAATACATGTACGCCCAAAAATAAATTTAATTCAAATAAATAACTGTATAATGTATAATAATTAAATATGAAACAGAAATAAAACACGTTCAGCTCTATCTATTAAAAATAAGTAAACTTTATAACTTTCAAACATTACTTTCTAGATACAAAGGTTTAGCTTTAATTTTTTTATCTACGTTTTTTTGAGTTTCGTCAAGATACGAATGATCAATAATGTATTCACACAATAATAATTCTAAATTATTTAGCTGCTTTTGAAGATCTTTCAAACTTGCTTTTTCGTCACTGTTTTCGTCACTGTTTTGAAGCTCTTTTGTTTTTTCGTCACTGACACCGACAAGCGGTAGTTTTGGGCCGCCAAGTGTTTTATATAGTTTTTTTTGAATTGGATCTCTGACTATAAAGATTCTTTGGCAGAATCCCCATGGTTTTACTCGATCAATTCCTATTTATTTTAAATTTTAATAAAAATTTTTTTGACTTAAATTTGAATAAATTTATCAAGTGAAACCTACCAAAAAGAAAGATACCAACACCGGCCAAACTGCTCATAGTGCCACCAAGAGCACTAAGAATGCCTAATAACTAAATTTATTAAAAATTAATCTTTTTTTGTCGCATGAAAATAATTGACAAAAATTAAAACTTACATCAATGTTTCTTTAATATGATCAAAAAAAAAGAAAGAGAATATTATTTATATTTTAGTACGACGACGACGACGACGACAAAGCATTTGATAATCAAGAAATTTACTTTTTTTGTCCTATTTTCGGTTCTTGGTGAGTTGTTAGTGCGAAACTCAAAGATGCATAAAATAATAACTCTGGATTTGTTGTCAGAGCATTCTCTAGAATCGTCGGATCCGTTATTGGATAATTTGACGTTTCTATTGTTTCATTATATAACGGTATTTAAAGCAATGCATTAAATTAAGTCATAATATGATATATCAATCTTGAAACTTACGAAAGTTTGTTTCGATGGCATAATCACGATCATATTCAGTCTGAGGAATACCAAAAATATTCTTTGCAGTTTCCGCAATACTTTCATTTAAATATCTTCTGAAATTAATGCGATTTATCTTAAAAAAAAAAAAAAGGATAAATAATCTGTGCGCATAAAAAACTTAATTTCTTTTATGTGCATTCTTACCTGATATGGAGAAATAATATACTCATTCTGTTTAATAGATTCTTCAAGCAAAGCTTGAGTATGTCCTTTGTTTGAATTTAAGTTCTGTAACAAGTTTGAATCTACAGTAATTTGGTTAATAGGTAGTTATTTATATCGATATTGAGATTCAAGCATTTAACTTACCATGATCGATCAGAGCAACATTCAAAATCGAAGTTAAAGTCATGAGTTTCTTCGAAGAATTAGTTATATGAAAGGAAAACGCAACAGATAGGAGCCCATCACCAGAGAAAAGATAATTATTGTCTGTCGTGTAAAAGGTTGTCTGAGGACCATTTTGAATTAAGTAATTGTTACAGCTGGTTATTGATTCATTTTCTAAAAATATAACAAAAGAAATTAGATTTGTATGGGGAAACGTTAACATCGACTACTTACGAAAAATGAAATCACAGGTTATATTGTATGGGAAAGGAGCGACAAATATAGCATCTACATATGTACGATGCAAATGCAAATAATATTCCATTATCAGTACCAAAAACACAGATACAAAATACGTATTAAGCGAGAAAAACAAAAAATTTTTTCTTACAAGGGGGTGGAATGTTATGATTATAATCAAAAACAACGGTTTGTAATGGATCATCAGATACCAATCGAAAAAACAATACAACCACATAGAGACACAATATTATACGAGAAAGGTGTAAAAATATTCCTTTGAGAACCTTGATTACTTTTGGTTCTGTCTTGCGCCATGCAACTGTTCTAGGAATACTACAACAACACATTATTGACGTTTTTTATCGTATATGCTATCAATCTCTTTTCAAATAACATGTATTTATAGAACTTTTATCTGTTACTTTTTCGGTTATCTTTGTGTACATTTTTCGTGCTGCATAGAATAACTTTTGAATGATATAATAATGTGCGCAGTATAATCAAGTTCATGTACATGTATCTCAAAAATACCGGAAAAAAAGGGATCCTAACTTGCTCTTTGCATACCACTTTTAATAGTTTAGAAAATCAAATTGTCAATATCGTTATATATTTTCTCCTATTATGTCACATAAAAAGAATCTATAATAATCATGGTGGATGCACTACCAGATTTAATTGTAATCAAAAAAGGAAAAATTCTTTAGAACTCTCTTCATGTAGTACGCATAACGATAATACATATACATGTAATCAGAAAAGGAAAATTTCTATAGAACTCAGTACGCACAACGATAATACATGTACATGTAATCAAAAAAAGGAAAATTTCTATAGAATGCTCACCTTTTCCGGTACATGTAATTGTCATATCGTAAAAAATTTCTTAAATAGGCTCCTTTCTTAACACACACTCATTGGTGAATTTCTTAGATTCAAAAGCGCCATCACATTTAGTACAACCATTCCCACGGACATTTTTCAATGTATTGTCTCCTTTAAAAAATTTGTGGAATATATTGTCCGGCTCACCCCAATTTGCTAAATGATATCGATGTATGTATTCCAGCAATGTGCGCATCTATATTGACATTTTTTTATTTGTTCAAAGCAAGCATAGGTAATCATTCACCTATTTCTTTTACGTTCTAATGTTAGTGAAGCGCAACTCAATAAATAAGAAGATAACAAGGAAATCAATATTAATCGTTTTTTTGTTGGTTGTGGTCCAAGTCATTTTTTAATGCTTATTAAGAATTATGTTAGATCTTTCATTTGATTGAATGAGTGATATAATTTTATTCGGTTTGCATCAATATCAGAAAATTATTCAGTAAAGCGACAACGTTCCAATTTCGACAGACACAATCCCGACAATTTCATAAGCTGACAAAACACAAGTCGAATAGTGCTATTTTCACCTCGATGTAAAATATGAGTTGTTGCATTTTAGATTAGATGAACCCTATATTTCAATATTGGATTTTGACAAGATAAACTCAGATATGAGGTTTATCATGTCAAAACTATTTGGATAGTCATGTCATCATTGAAACGATAAGTCTACATGTCTAACTTAAAAAAAGATTTTCACGTGACTTTATTGTGTTATTTATCATTAATATGTGCAAAAATATAGTTGAAAACGCAAATTATTGAAAAAAATTAACTCATATCTTTGCTTTTGGGGGTAAATTGTAATTTTGTATTATTTAGCCCTGGTTTGACCTAAGTTGAAACCTACCCTGTCGACCAGTGAAACGAAATCCCGAAAAAACGACATCCCAATGTTCGAAATCCCGAATAACAACAACCTGAATGCACGGAATCCAGAAATCGTGATAATTTTGGTACATGTATTCTATGCATCTAGGATGTTATAACTCGGATTCGTGATTCGGATGCCGTTCTTTCGTGATTTCGTTTGTCGAGCTTATAAACTGTCTTGTTTGTGTTTTTCAGGGTATCAGACCCATTTTAAAATGAGATTACCAATAGTTAGTATCCAATCTACGTAATGGTGAAGGAGTGAACTATGCAAACCGTAAAAATAGCTTGATCTGAATCAACTTCATACAATGAATTATACCAAATACAGCAGTAACAAAAGATTCTATGATTTAAAGTAAAAATTGAAGCTGTGGTGGCAAAAATTGTTGTTGGTTCCACTGCCGCCAAATAAATGCCAAAGTACGTATAATGATAAATGTAAGCATCATATATATATATATATATATATATATATATATATTAATTAACTTATTTACTAATATCTTATTTTTTTTTGATTGATAGCAGTGCCTGTTAAGATTTAGTGCTCCCCGTGCAGGAAAAAAAGCCTCATGATTAATTTTCAATATATATTTTAGCTCATGATGACAAAATATTAAATCCAGACTCGAACACTTCCGATATTTTTGTTTTATTATGGAAACAAAATAGTTTCCTACATCAGACAAGCGTTATCCCATTATATAAATAATTAGATTCAATATACTTCCAATATATTTTTATTTTATTTCTTTACTATCTTATTATGTAGTTTTTATGCTATCTTTACTTATAAAGAAAGGATAGAATTATTAACTACACAAGAAAAAAGATAGGGAACAAGAAAACAAACTTTATATAGCACTATGGAAAAACTGATGTCAATAATAATAATATTATTCATTTTTCCTCTAATTTTAAACCACTTTATTAATAGACCAAGTTTTTTATAGGATTTTCTGATTCATTTTTCGCTTTTTTGCCCCAAATTTGATATTTTTTATTTTTTCATACCCAAATAATCCGCAGATTGTGATTTGAAGGAACATTATCTAATTCCAGTGTTTTAGATAGCGAATCGTTATGTCTTTGAATTTATTTTCGTATCTCTGATTACGCGTAAAATGACTTGGAGATTTCATTTGTTTTAAAATAAGTTCTTTTTAAAAATCCAATACCTTTGTTAATTTTATTTAATATCACTTGATGAACGCATATGGTGCCATAATTTTCAAAATTCCAAGTGTCAAATTATTACACGTATTCGTATAATTGGACAACTTTAGACTGAGTCAGTGAAAAGTATTTATCAACTTTTTGTCTCAATTAATAATATACGTGATTATATCAGTGTTCATGATTCGTATTCGTATACCGATATGCGACATTTAAATAATCAACGATAAAAAGGAATTGCTTCTATACACGCGTTTTTTTTTAAATAAGGCAAGTGCAAAATAAAAAAGTTGCTACCGCTGCCAAAGCATCAAAGTTCAAAATAGATAAAAAAGTGGTTGTGCTACATTCTGATACAGTAAAAGTTTGTTGATGTTGAATCTTTGTCGCAAAGTTCATGAGAAAAAAACTATCAAAGAGAATCAAGAAACGGATGCGAATAGTCAATCCGATGGATGTTGTTTCGACTTCTAGCCAAGCAATTGAAGTCATGCAAGAAAAGATAATGATGAAACGATAAATCAGACAAAGGCGATGAGGATGAAAGTGACGAATTCGAAGAGGTAGAGGTTCCTAAATATGAACAAGTATGCTCTAATCCTTGATATGAAACTCGATTGTCTTAAGAGTTGAATTAAGTTGTTAATTTCTTGGAATTCAATCACAATACACTTGTGACAATTAGGTGAAGCTTAAACCAGAGCAGAATAAAACAATTGAAATAACTTTCTCTATACCTGCAATAAAATGATCTCATTAACATTAAAATAGAGATAAATTTTATTTTCCATCTACATGTATTTGTAATTATATTGATTCACATGATTACATGCACGCAAACGATTCTCCAGCAATAAAAATTCCGTTCGCACGAATTAGTTCGTTGGAACCCTCGTATGAGTTAGATATTAAACCTGAAATTGCAGCACCAGGTTATAGAATCTTTAGCACATATCCCGTTAACTTTGATTCTTATGCAATATTAGATGGTACCATATATAACTGGTTGTGTGAAAATTCAATTATGGCATTATTAGTAGTAAAATATCACCTTTGTCGTTCGCAATTTATGATTCTAATAAAGAGAAATAGATTAATTTTTGTTTATTAACAATTATATAATATATCACACTAAATATATATTATTAGTAATTATTTACATTTCTTTTATTGCATTTCACGGAGATATATATCAATTTTTTGCAAATTATAATAAATGTTACCTTGTTCTATACTAACGTAATATATCATCAAAAAATTACAATTTTAAATAATAGAATTATAAAATTAATTAAAAAACTCCCAACATCGATAATTGAGATTCCAACGATAATGAAAATTAATTTTAGGAAAAATCTACAATTTTGATGGAGGCTATGGATTCTCTTTACATGCCTGTGGAAAAGATAAGTTATTGAATCAGCACTTCCCGAGTTTACAAAGATTTTTATTAGTCTCTGTTTATCAAGAATAGACTTCCATTTATTTTGTGATTCGTTCGAATAAAGAAATTTTTCTGCATCAATTTAAGATGGTCAAGGAGAGCTGCGTATATCACTTCAATGAAAAAGATTTTGCTAGTGGTGGAGAGACTTTATTTGATGGCAATTTGCAATCGCATAAAAATAGTCGAATTAAGAAAAGATAATATTTCTTATTGTCATCAATAATTCATTTCATTATGAATTTTTTTAATTTCAAGATCGAAATATTCATAAAACAATGCGGAATTTTCTTTGGATTAGTTGGTAAATCAACCGTAGGTGATAAATCCCGGTATAAATTCAAGTTAAATAACGAACCTTAAAGCTAACCGTCTTCACCCAAATAACC